CAAGGCAGGGGTATATTGTTCCCTTGTATGGAGAAGGGAGGTGGGCAACGGCAAATTGAAGAAACTCACGAGCTGCTGTTGTTTTTGCAGGTCATTAAGTCTGTGTTAATCATCTCGGAGCATTTTCATAAGTTTGCGGGGGCAAATGAAGACCAATGAAGGGATGTGCTGATAGTGGGAGAAAGAAAAGTTGGAGAGGGAGGGAAAATGCACGGTATTGATCAATTTCAATGCGGTCTAAGATAACTTTTGAATCTCTCCGATCAAGTCTCCATTACTGAGGTGGTGCGCATCCATCATGCGGCCTTGACTTCGGTCAAATTTGCTCATTCTGTGTGATGATGAAGGCAAGATTCTGTTTTCCCTGACATCTTGTGTAAGCTCAATCCACTGCTAAAATGTGCACTTCTTAAAAATATACGTATAGATGTAGGACAAACATATATATTTTCACTTCATATTAACAGATTCAGATGGGTAAGTGCAGAGAATTACTCTGAGTTCTGTTTTATATACTTATTAGCAGCTGCATTACTAATTGAAGGCCTAATTTAATGGTGCCAACAATGAGGAAAGTGGATACAGCATTCAGAACTAACAAAGCCTTCCAACAACACTTTTTATATGCGAATTCATACGAAATAAACATAATCTATTCATGAATAAAGCCCCCCATGTACTTTACACTGCTTTTAAATATTTTCCGTGTAGAGAACATGTCTAATTGTAGTCTGGCACAGCGTCTCCAGTAAACCTTGCTCAGTGAACCCGTATTTCCTAACTGCAACTGACTATCTTTATTTCTCTGGCTCAATTAAAACCTGCCGTTTATGAGAAACCAACAAGATTCGAGTGACATCATTCACACTTTTCTTGTGTGTTTTTAACTCTGTACTTGCCACAAAGCATCCCATAACAAGATGGAGTTCTTATTTGTGGCCTGTTTGCCTTTTGTTCTGCGATTCATTTGTTTAATGCTCAAGGATGATAGAGATTATGTATTCATTGTTGGATAGGTGCAATTTCACCTTATGGACTAATTAAGTAATGGTTGTGGGTGTAGATGAAGCCCTCCCCATTCTTTCTGGAGTCTTGCCAATGGTACCTTTCCACAGCTGGGTCTTGTTTGCTTGTCTTATCTCAATTCCCCTCAGTTTTTCTACTATGGAATCCTCCTCACGCCAACAATACCACAGTCTGTTGTTTTTTTGGTTTTGGTGAATAGGGGCATTTGGGGGTGTGAGAATGAAAGTGATTTTGCATCCTAACTCCATACACCAGTTTTCATCAAAAGAGTATTATTTAAGTTGTCTTTCAAAGAGCATTCTTCTCCGGGGTCTCTGTAAACATGACATCTCCCATTTAACCCTTTCTCTACAGCTGAATAAACTTAACATGTGAAAAAGTATCTGTGAGACCAACGTCCTTGAACATTTTACGCCGCCATATTCTCCTATCTTACCTTTTTTCAGTTTATCACATTAACATGTAAAGGCTCCAGATGTTGACTCCTCTTTTTTATTCAGCTTAATTACTAATTGAATTTGCCCATAAAAGAGCAGATGCTTTCTGCATCAGAACACAATGTGTCAGGGGCACACAAATGACAGGAACATGTTGGGAATTGAACTAAAGCACTGAGTGGATTTTAACTCATTCTATGCCAAGTCTTTGTATATTGCTGTATATGTAAGAGATTATAAACAATTTACAATAATCAGTATGTGTTTGTTTACTGTAATACTCAAGAAAGACACAATTAAACATGATGATTTTATCATTTTTTTCAGTTATTTATCCTACATGATTTTACTGCGAAATTGCGCATTATGGACACACAGCATTTTATAACTCCTGTTAGATTTGTTAAACAAAATGTTGTTGAGCGCATGTTGCCGTCTCAAGAGGCCAGTGAAAACTGTCTTTTTATAAAAGAAGACCATGGGACAGTGATCACTACTTAATTTCTGCCATTTATGCTGTAGCGTTTCCCATGAAAATGTGGTCAGCACATCATTTCAGAGTGGGAGTGGGAAATCTGACATTTTTATTTATTTATTTTATTCACCACACATGTTTCCAATCTGCAGAAACTTGGCATAGTTGGATTTTTCCCCTTTTACAATGCCATTACAAAACAATGTTCATTGTTTGTGGCATTTGCTCTAATTTTACAGCTCTTGCTCCATTTTGTACCCATTGCTTAGTCCAGCGCTGGACTGGCTATGGGATACGGGACTCTTTTCATGCTGTTTTATTTAAGGATGTTATTGTTGGCCCTTGCACAGGCCACAGTCAGCCCCTGGGTCTTTTTCCCAAGCGATAGAACCACCCACACATCATCCATCATCTGACCTCTCTCTGCATGACAGGTCACTTCTGCTTTTCCACCAGGATGCAGCATGTTTGTGTGTGTGTGTGTGTGTGTGTGTGTGTGTGCTGTGAGGCAGTTTTGGGACAGTAATTATAAGATGAAGTTGACTCTTGAAGTTGAGCAACTCTGTTAAAACGGTGGGGTTTATATGGTGTTGTAAAACCTCATCTAAATACAGTACGGTAGATTGTCTTGCCAAGCTCTGCAAACTCTGTGCTAATTGTATACTATTATCTATAATTACAAATAGGTAGGCTATTATTGCACCTATTCACCAACTATTATTGCACCACCACACTTCAGGGTGTTTATAATGATAACAAAGCTGAAACATACTGACTGAAATATGATTATATTATGATAAGAGGGAAAAGAGAGACAATTATTTATGTTGTGTGACAGTGCCCCCTACTGACAGTTCAGCTCACATCATGCCAATGTTTTGGATATTGATAAAATGTTATTTTCTATGCTATTTTCCTCCCATCATTTATTTTTGACAAAAAAATGAGACATTATTTTATCAGCACAAAACTTTTTGTTTTCAAATCTGAATGTTGATTTTGGGGCATAAAATCAAATATCACAGCACGGACGACTAAAAATATTCCACTTTATTTCATGGACCATTTTCGACAATGAGGCCTTTGTACATTTACAGCCAAGATCTCCCTTGCAGATTTCACTTTGAAGTCCATGCAATTTACATTTCCACTGTTTGAGCCGTTTCATTTATTTTCATTTCATTAGTGTTACTCTGCTTATATCTAAGGCCAAAATAAATTCAAGACAACCATAACATATCTACCAACTTAATGTTTTGCTCCTGACATTTCTCAGATATTTTGACATTTATTCAGACATTTACTTTTACAGAATATATATATATATATATATATATACAAATTGACAGTTCACTTTATTTCATGGACCATTTTCGACAATGAGGCCTTTGTACATTTACAGCCAAGATCTCCCTTGCAGATTTCACTTTGAAGTCCATGCAATTTACATTTCCACTGTTTGAGCCGTTTCATTTATTTTCATTTCATTAGTGTTACTCTGCTTATATCTAAGGCCAAAATAAATTCAAGACAACCATAACATATCTACCAACTTAATGTTTTGCTCCTGACATTTCTCAGATATTTTGACATTTATTCAGACATTTACTTTTACAGAATATATATATATATATATATATATTTACAAATTGACAGTTACTAACAGCAAAATCTGCATTAAAGTAAATGCAGAATTTCATAAACGTTCTTAAAGCATGTGAATTGACATCAGTTTTTAAAACTGTAGGTGACTGTAAACACATACATATTCAACAATGAATATAACAACAACTTAATTGTAAAATTATCAAGCTATATTATGGTTGATCAAAGCTCCATATGAAAACTATTTGATGGATAAATCACTGCTCATGGTAGCTATATAAGTCTATATTTTCTTCCATAGTTACTAATTTGGAATTTTGTTGTTTAATAAAAACTTAACTAGGTAAGACGCATGTTAGTGTCCAAACGAAAATGTTTTCGGACAGATTCGGTTCTGAATGCGTTTCCTTCATAAGCTCGGTCTTTGCAGTCAGGCTGTCTATGGTTTTCTTCATTGAACTTGCAGCAGTAATTGAAGCAGATCCCATGGGTGTAGTGCATTTGGGGACGTTAAGTGCTGTCTCTTGTCATGCTCTGTTTTTGTAAAATAGGTTCTTTTTTGTCAGTTTCCTGCGATGTTCTTCATTGTTTTTTTCATTTATTTATTTATTTTGTTAAAGTGTGCAAGAAGCTCCTAATGCTTGTTTTCCATGAGAGGCTCTCCTCTCCCAGGGGGCTGTCATTTGTGGAAGGGCCTCCATTTTCACCCGTCACTAAGATGGCCCATCTACCAGAACACACAAAATCTTGGCATCTCAGCCCCTGAGAAATGGACTACCTATTGAAGCTGACACCCAGAAATTTACTCTTTTTTTACCATGTTAATGTCTCATACTTGTCTTAGGCAGATGTGACTGATAAAACTTGGCAGTGGCATACAGTACCTTAAACTTGTCTGAATAAACTTTATATATGCTATATTTTATATAGAACATATTTTATATACTTTCACTTGAATATTTAAGGGTAATTTTTTTGTTATTATTTATTATATAAATTTCTGTATACATACCGTGAAGTCTTTCAGCATTCCACTGTTATTCTCTATTATCAGAAAAACATTAGCTAATTGAACTCGTTATAGGCTTTTCAGCAAAATTGAGCGAAAATGAAGTAAAACAATGAAACAAAACACAATTTATGATTAATTAATTTGTTACATGTAAAACATTGTGACAGCTTGCTCCTTTAATTCTATCTCTTTAAATTCACATTAAAAATGAATTTTGCTTGGTGAGAACTGAAATTGAATTAATTAGAATCTCAATATATATAATTGTATAATAATAATTTATAGAATTATATATAGAATTCATTTATTGATTTATTTATTCATTCTCACTATAATTTGAAACAAACCTATGAGTTAATTTTGTTCACATTCACTAACCACTTCTGGGAGGTTATGCTAATGTGGTTTATGTCATATCCTCATCAAGGATGTAGTGTACTGCTGAAGCAGCCTACGAAATTTCCGTAGGTGACAGCGCATTTCCGTAGTAACCTGCCTGGCCTGCGCTCCTCCACCGCTGTCTGAAACAGCGTAACTTTAGAGTTCATGCTCAGGCTTTCGTGACAGCTCGCCTGGCACGACCAGCGGATTTCAAGGGCTGGAACACCTGTTTTCACGAACGAGAGCCAAAACAACACGGCCAAGATGTTGAATATGTGGAAAGTGAGGGAGCTGGTTGATAAAGCGTGAGTATTGTGAATGTTTTCGACAGTATTTCGGTGTCCTGTCTCATACCTGTTGAAAATGAGACACGTACGCACTCATTGACGTCACATCGCACTCTCGAGACAGGAGTTAGCACAGTAGCTAACTACAGCTTTGTTGTGCCCTTAAAACTAACGTATTTCGCCTGTGTATTTAACTTTCGTTTTCGAGTTGGTTACGATACTTTATCAGACGTTTTCACTTGTTTATTGCGACTCAATTTTGTTTACGAGACAAACGGTGCCCTCAAACTTCCTTACTATTAACTCTCAGTGGCTAATTTATGACAGTTGCTAAACTTGGCTGTCAAAACACGGCGTTTGTGTTTAAAAGTGCTTTACATGCCAAACCGTCGTGTTGATTGTTAACCTTTCTGAATGACAAAATTGTTTAAAAATGAAAGTAAGAGCACGTGTTTAACTTGGCATTGGAGTGGCAACAACTTTTTCATGTTTGACAGCTATTGTCAGGCACTATTCAAGCTAATCAGCTAGCCTGAAATGAACAACGATTCTTTGTACATATTTGTATGGTGTCAGTTGCGGATTAATTGGCAACCTGTTTATACTTTCTAGGTGTAATCCTGGTACAAAGACTAAGTTTAAAGGTGGTTGCGTAGCTTCTGTAATGGAGCCTTTGAGTTTCATGGAAACTGCTGCTGTTAGACTGAAACTGGTGTTTTAAAGTCACCATGAAATCAAAATTGAAAATTCTTATTTTTTAATGGAATACTGTAGTGTTTATTATAAATAATTGATCCATGCACTTCATTATTTTTTTTTAATTCATGTGCCCTCTTAATCTTTAATCAAAAACGTTAACCTCCCCTCCCCCTCAAAACGACTCATATTCTCTTCTGGTCACTAGCTATGGCGCAAGGGCGGAGCTAATGACGTGAGGGGTAAACGCTGGGATAAACGACAGGGGGAAAAGCTGAAGCTGATGCTTAACTTTATAGCACTGACACCAGTCATGAGGGAGTACGCTACCCCTAAACATCGAAAAGATATTAGGATATTACGACAACATTACTCTTAGGGCATTGCAAACTAATTTTGTTCATGCATATGACTTAACCTGATGGAGGTTAAGTCATATGCATAGGCTCAGTCATTCAGGCAGTCTCTCTCACTCTCTCTCTCTCTCTCTCTCTCACT